CAACACTGTAAGCCAACAATTATTCTGATAGTTCTGATATGCAACAGGTCCTTTCATTCATGTGGAGTTTTGTTGGAAACAGGCAAGCAAAGCGACAAGGTTGAATGTACCCCAGCTGAAGCAGCGCCGTTAATTCTCATTGGAGTTTCATCGGATGAGTAGACAGAGTGATAAAGTGGAATCTACAAGCACCTCAACAGCCGAAACTCTGTTGCAGCTAGAGGGCCTAGAGAACTGTTGAGACCTCCCGCTGTTCCTCGTGCCAGCTGCTTGCACGGAAAGCCAACCATCCTGGTTATAACACAGAGTAGAAACGTCTGCGACACTCCTTGAACCCAACCAGAACCGCAGCGCATGCACCAGGGTGTTGAGGTAGTTGTACCCAACCCCGTTGGTCGCAGTGAGGCATCTAAACCTGCCGGCATAGCCCTGCTCTGCCGCATCTTCACCCGCATGGCTCTGCTTGCATCGCACCACCACCCGCCACTCATTCTCACACATACTTTCTGCCTTTTAGTCTGCCACGTAACCTCCACCCTTCATTTAACCACCACCCTTCATTCAACCACCACCCCTTGAGCTCCCTGGCCTTTAACTACCTCACCTCCTGCCCTTACACACCTGCTTTTGCACCCTTGTATTCTCCTACCCTCATCCACCACGCCATCAGCTCCGTGGCCTTCAACTACCTCACCGGATCACTCCCCACCGCACTCCCCACCATGCTCGCCTCTCTGGACATGCAAAGCAACTTCTTGGCGCGTTCTGTGGCGGCCAACAGCATTGCATACTGCGCCAGCATAGGCAACTGCCTGGTGGACGCGTCCAAGTGTGCATCACTAGGACTGCCACAGCGCAGCGCCGCTGAATGTGCCATCAGTGGCTCCACCAACGGCCAGGGCACTCTGTGTGCTGCTGCCACCACCTGCCGGGTTGCTGCTGCTGGGGCTGGGGTGACAACGCCCCCCACCTCGCTTTCTGCTAGTCTCCCTCTCTTCTGCGAGGCTGTTTCCATGGACTTGGTATCAAGTGAGTGTGCTCTTGTGTTTCTTCTGTGCAGCTCTGTTATCTCAAACAATAAGTGCATACAAGGTAAGTGCATTGCGAGGCTATGCTAAGCCAAGGTGAAAAGAACACAAAACCAAACAGAATTAGTCCCCCCTGACCACCTCTTTGATCTCTCTCCCTCATTCTCCCTTGGTTTGAATTGAAAGAGGGACGGATAAAGAAACAGGTGAGTATTGAGGCATATACTCTTAGCTACGTTTTACCTGAAACATCTAAAGATCTGGTGGCATTTTTGAAATTCCATGCCACGGAATACCTGAGGGGCTCGGTTTTAGGATCTCATGGAGGCTGTGTAACCATTTTTCAAGAGCTCAGTGGAACACATGTGATGCCTGCTACAACTTCTTACATCACCGTCGTCTACCCACCTGCTCTCTCCTCTCTCCTCCTTCACCCAACTCCCATGCCAGCCCAAACGATGCTGGCCATCAAAGCTGCACTGGGGGTGACGCTCGCAGACCGGGCAGGGACTCAGGGCACGTGCACGTTGGAGGGGCAGACTCCCGGCCCAGGCGCATGGACTGGCGTCTACTGCAGCTCGACGTGCATGTGAGTGATGATCCCAAATACTTCCAAGCAACAGAACCAACCTGGCTGGACAAAACAGCAGGTGGTAGGTTGGTAAACAACCTCTGGTTCTGTTTTTCCAACCTGGGAAAAGAACAACCAGGTTCAGGTCCTAAAAACAGAACCTGTTTCGTCTTTGCCCAACCAGCCAAAAGCTGGTTCCGCTGGTTTCCCCTGGCCCTGTAGCATGCAGATACAGACAAACAACATCCAACCTTCACCTAAATTGTACCCCTATCTGTTGTGGGCATGTGAGTGCTGCCATGCTGCTGTACTGCTGTGCTTTGCCATGATGCTATGGGCATGTAGTAGGTTGCTTCTCTGTTGCCACTGACTGGAGCTTCATTATTTTGTGTAAATGTTGTATGGAGAGATTGAGTGGTAACCCGCTTTTTCTCGCTCTTGCGCTCCGCTGTCCCGATTTCCTACTTTACTCTGCAGTGTGCTGCCAAACAAGAAGCTGAGTGGAAGCCTCTCAACAGACATTACCGACCTCACAGCCCTCACGTTGCTGTACGCCCTCCCAATCCCTTCCTGCTGTGGACCCTGCAAGAGTATCTGCTCTGTCTTGCTACTTGTTGGTCAAACCCAGCTAACTAGCCCATCTGTCTCCCTATCTTGCGTCAGAATTGTTGGTGTAAGGGCCTAAAAAACTCAAGCTATTAAGACTTTATCAAACTTAAAACCTCTCCTCGGGGTCACCTCCAAGGGTCCTTGGGTGCCTGGTACAAAACCAGCCCTATCCTCGGGTCCGAGTTTGTAGAAAGAGGGATCAAGTGGGACTTAGTCAAAACAACAAGAGTACCTTGAACGTCGCGCAGCGTATCGTGCAGACTGTCGATCGGATTAAGCTGAGAATTTCCTATATCGAAGCTCGTCCAAGAGCTTTAAGATGAACCAAGTTGCCTCGCGAAAAGTTCTGCCATTACGAAGTTATGGCTCGGACAGCGTTTGCCTAGTGTTGGAGTGCTAGCATACTAGCGTTGACTCGGGTAGCATTCCGCCGTCGCACCGCGTAGAAACGAAATTCCAGGAAGGGAGAAATTCGCTTGAATCAAATTGACTATATCCAGGTTCAAACACAGAAGGAATAAATAGTTCTAGCTAGCAAGGACCTTGGGAATGAACCTGGGAACAACCAGGGATGATCCCAAATACTTCCAAGCAACAGAACCAACCTGGCTGGACAAAACAGCAGGTAGTAGGTTGGTAAACAACCTCTGGTTCTGTTTTTCCAACCTGGGAAAACAACAACCAGGTTCAGGTCCTAAAAACAGAGCCTGTTTTGTCTTTGCCCAACCAGCCAAAATCTGGTTCCGCTGGTTTCCCCTGGCCCTGTAGCATGCAGATACAGACAAACAACATCCAACCTTCACCTAAATTGTACCCCTATAGTGCCTGCCCTGCTACACTATAGTCAACCAAACAAAACAGTACAATTTCGAGTTGGATAGAACGGAATCTGCGCAATCAATTCAACCGAACCGCAAAGCTTCCATCTTGGGTTCCTTTGCGAGCTCGTCCTTTCTGCTTGTACTATTCATAGCGCGTACAATGTTGTGCCGAAGCGCACAATGCGTGAGTACCTGCAAATGCTTCAAGCGAAAATTGCGAAAGCAAACAAACAGACGAACATACCATTCACACCCAAATGCATTCGCACACGCATACTCGTACAAACAGACGGCAGGATGTCGTGCAATGTGAATTTGCACCCAACAAGAATTTCCCCAACCCTCTGCTCATGTGACCATGCATGTGTGCATGCATTTGTGCATGCATGTTTGAATTCATGTGCGTTTACGCATGTGGGGGCATCCATGTGTGCATGCATGTGTGCAGTGAGCTGAGCTCTAACCTCTTCCAGCACCGCCTGGATGTCTTTCTCTATGCCGTCTCTGCCCTCAAGGCACTCAAGAATATGTACGATTTGCCACAATTCACGAGCATTGTTTATCCTCTGAATGCTCTATAATGTTGATTGTGAACCACACACACGCGCATGCGCACACACACACACTCACTCACTCACTCACTTACTTACTCACTCATTCACTCACTCACACATACACTCTCACACTTACACTCACACTTAAACACATACATTCACACTCACACTCACACATTCATATACTCACACTCTCAAACTCTCACACTCTCACACTCTCACACTCACTTTCACACTCTCACACTCTCACACTCTCACACTCTCACATGCTCACACGCTCACACGCTCACATGCTCACACACTCACACGCTTACACCCTCACACGCTCACACTCTCACACTCTCACACTCTCACACTCTCACACCCACTCACACTCACAAAAACAATCACACACACCCCCCCTCCCCCTCACACACAAAGTGCTGTTCTGTGCACATTGCCATGCAATTGGAAGCACATTAAAATGGTACTGGTTGCACTGAACGTGGTACTGTAAGCTATGCTGTATGCATTGAGTCACTGAATGCTGCTTCGTGCTGCATTATGATGAATTTGCCTCTCCTCTAATGCCTCTCACGTCACATCACTCTTCACCCACAGTTACCTGCAGTATAGCTGGTTTTCCAGCTCCATCCCCTCCTCCCTCGTCGCCCTGTCTGCTCTCTCCACCCTGTGAGTGATCCCCTCCGCCCTTGTGCATGCTTTAGAAAGCCCCAAGCATTATGTTCCATCCCCATCCTGTCCTGTACACATTCACTCAATGCTCTCGCACACACACCCCCTGTCCCACACCACACCTGCCTCACTCTAGACACAGTTTTGAACATGCTCATCTGCACAGGGCGCTCTTCCTCCTCCACCCTCCACCGCTCCATGTCCACCACCTGTTGTTGGAACAAGACAAATAGCACCTGCCTTCCTCATGCCCCACTTTTAGAACCTCAACCCTGCCTTTCTTCCCTTCCCTCATTGTTCTTCCACTTCTTTCTCCCTCTTCCTTCCTTCCCCCTCCGGTATACGCCCCCCTCCCCCACCACACACGGCCACGCACAGCAAGCTGAACCGCAACTATCTGACCGGCACAGTGCCGGCGTTCAAGACTACCCTCAAGACCCTCAACGTGGCCAGCAACCTGCTCTCGGGCGCCTTCCCCGCCATCTCCCTCACCGCCTGCGATGCCCGCTCCAACTGCCTCTCAAGCGCCACCAAGTGCACCAACGCTGACGGCACGGCGCAACGGGCAGCCTCAGAGTGCAGGGTGTGTGGGTCTACTGATGCTTCTGCCGTTCTGTGTGGGGGAGGGCTGTGCGCCTCTGATGCCTCCGCCCCTGCTGCCTCCTCCACCCCCAACACGGATGGCCAGCCGCTGCTGCCACTGAGCTGCCTGGGAGTGCCCATGGATGCGGCCATGGGGTTGACGCTGCTGAGTGTGAAGGCATCGCTGGGTGTCACGTTCACGGATTGGAATGTGGATGCGCCTTGTACACTGGCAGGGCAGGCCGTGGTGCCGGGCTCGTGGTCCAGCGTTGTGTGTGACGCCACTGGCAAGGTTCTCACCCTGTGAGTGCAGGGGGGCTGCCTCATGTCTCCTCTTTGTATTTTTGTGATGTGTTTGCCTTTGATGGGCAAGGGCTGTCGTGCTCCTAGAGGATCACACTTGTGTTTGCCATAAAGCATCGTATGATGTCATTTGAGATTTCATCTCAAGCATGGAAGCATGCTACATGGAGGTTGGAACCATGCTCCATGGAAGCATGCTATAACATCACTGTGTCATCTTTATCGTCCTCCCTTGCTGGTGAACCAATGTGCACCATCTTGTGCCACACGCACATGCAGCACGCTGGGCAATCTGCTGCTGCCAGGATTCGTCAAGTCCTCGGTGTCAACACACACCTCGCTCACTAGACTGTAAGCTGCTCCCTCCATTGCTACCTCACCATGCATTGTAACAATTCTACTGTCACAGTGGGCGCATACGTTTCACCTTGCCTTCCCTAGCGCTTACCTCCTCACATGCTCTCGTAGTCACGTTCTATGCTCACATTCTCACATCACCACGTGCTCACACAAGCACGGTCTCATGCTCACATGCTCGGAGGTGCACGTGTGTGGGCTGTGCCATGCTGCACGTGTGTGGGCTGTGCCATGCTGCACGTGTGTGGGCTGTGCCATGCTGCACGTGTGTGGGATGTGCCATGCTGCACGTGTGTGGGCTGTGCCATGCTGCAGCGAGCTGGGCAACAACCTCTTCTCAGGCCGCCTGGATTCCTTCCTCACCCCTCTTCTTCCGGTCAACACCCTCAAAGTCCCGTGAGTTGCACTCGCTCCCACAACCCCTACCACACTGCACCCCCCAACCCAGCCACACGATGCTGCAACTCCGACCCAACCGAAGGGCGCCATTGCACCCACTGGTTGGTCTTGCCTGTCCTTCCTGGCTTCAACCTCTTCCCCGTGTCACGCACGCAAGACAGATTATACAAAGCAAGGCAGCCCCGACAGGGCATGCGATATCATATACCACATACTGTGTGTTTCAGCACCTTCTATCTTTATTGCTGCCCTCATCCCCTTCCAGCCACGTGCACAACAACTACCTGTCGGGCGCCGTGCCACCATCACTCACTGCTTTCTCTGCCCTCTCCGAACTATGAGCTCTCTCCCATACCATGTTCTCTGCATATCAAAACTCACTTCTCTCCAGTCTCTTATATTTTGGCATGTCCTCTCCCTCCTAACACCTTTCCAGTTTGTATTCCTCCCTCCCTCTTTCTGTCGTATGCGCACAACACTACCATGTGGACTTTCCTTCCCCCACTCCCTTGCCCATCACAGCAAGGTCCAGGCCAACTACCTGACGGGCAGCATGCCGGCAGCGCTGCCGGCGTCCCTCAAGTACCTGGACGCATCAAGGAACTACCTGGTGGGAACGTTCCCCACCACCACCACCACCTACTGTAGCTGCGCCACCTACTGCTTCAAGGACAGCACCAAGTGCACCAGCGGCAGCACGCAGCGAGCACCAGCAGCATGTGCCATCTGCGGCAGCACCAACGGCACCGGGGTGCTCTCTGATGGCGGCACGTGTGCTCCCAATTCAACGGCTCTGATCGCAGCAAAGACTGTGAATACGGGGACGGCTGAGATGTACTGCGCGGGTGCTCCCATGGATGCTACCATGGGTGAGTTCTGTGAGCAGTGAGGCCAGGCATGAGGGGTGTGTGTGTGTGTGTACGTGCGTATTTGTGTGTGATTGTGCGCGCACGCGCGCGCGCGTATGTGCAAAGGAGACATGTGAAAACGTGGTTGGCCAATGGGGCGGAGTAGGCTTGCACTAGTGCCTGCTCCGTTCCGTACAACCAGAATACTGTGTATGATCCCACGTCCAACCGTGTCACATTATATCAGACCACAGTTTACCTTGCCCAAGAGTTGTCCGCATTGCTCTGCCAGGTAAGAATGGAACGACTCAACCAAACCTGTCCCCCAATCCCCCTTCCCCTCCCCCCCTTCAGCTGCGGCGCTACTGAGTGTGAAGGCATCGCTGGGAGTGTCGTTCACCAGCTGGGTGGTGAGCTCACCGTGTGCCATGGAGGGAGTGGCAGCACTGCCAGGCGCGTGGTCCAACGTCCTCTGCAACTCTGCCTTCAAACCCGTCTCCCTGTCAGTAAACCACTCCTCACACCTAAGCTGTCTTGCCCATGCTGCTGCTGCTGCTAAGACTGAGCTGAGTTCTCCATAATTCCAGTTTCGAGGTATTGCTGTTTTTAGTTCCTGTCTGCACCACGACTCTTCGGACGCCCTTTATCAAACTAGCACTTTTTGGTTTTGCTTGGCTGCGTTTCTCTTTCCCGCCGTGGTTGACTGTGGTTGGATGAGCAGCAAGCTATCGGGGCAGAAGCTGGCAGGAAAGATGCACTCTGACATCTCCAAGCTCTCCACCGTCACCCCCGTGTAAGCCCATTCTACAGACGCCTCCCACCCTTGCCTCCATGTTCTGATAACCCAACTCACGCCTCGCTTGCATCATGTTTGATTTTGTATCGTCCAACTTCGACATCCTCTCTTCCCAACCACCTTCCGCAATCATGTATAGAACTTATTTGGTGTATACTGTATGGCACCACTCACTCGCTCATCCTTAGACCGTATAATCCTCCTCCCCCCTCCCTGTCTCGCCATGTACCCCTTTCAGTGATTTCAGCAGCAACCTATTGCAGGGGCGTCTGAATGCATTCACAACCAACTTCAAGGCGCTCACCTAGCTCAAGCAAGCGTGAGTGGTGTGGCCGTGGTGTCCCTGTGCATCAGAGCAATGCACAAGGTGTAGATCAGAGCATACGAGCTTGAAGAGAAGCAGTCACTTGAGAGGAGGCAGACTGCTCAAATATCTCCCACATGGGGCTGCCTGTCAGCAACGTTTTCTACCTACCATGTCATGAATAACAATCTCATTCCTTTTTATCAAATCTCCCCAGCTTCCCTTCTCACCCTCTCATCTCCACCCCCCTCTGCTTCCCCCATACTCCCTCCACTCCTCTCTTCTCCCCTGCTCTTCCCTCAACTCTCCTCGTCTCTCCTCATCTCCTCAGAACTCCCCACATTTCCTCCCATGGCGTGGTTGCTCTTTTCTTTCATTTCCGCCCACGCGTCTCCCACCACCTGTCTGTCCCCTCTCAACCCTCTCACCTCGCCCATGGCAGCAACTTCAACTTCAACTGGTTCGCTGGGTCCATCCCCTCTGCCCTTGTGGCCATCACCACCCTCACATCATTGTGAGACCTCCTTGCCTTCTGCCTCTCACGCCTTCGCTGCTGCTGCCCCACTGCATTCACTCCTGCTGCCTCACTGCGTCTTCCCCGCCTCTTACCTATACACTCACTTTCCTCCACTCTCAGACACCATCATACTCACTCTCCTCTCATTTCCCCACATTCTCACCCCCCTCACCCTCCCCCCCGTCAACGGTGCGAGCTACAACTACTTGTACGGCCCCGTGCCCAAGCTGGGCACGGCTCTCAAGACCATCAACGTGCAGAAGAACTGGCTGTCCGGCACATTCCCCGGCACTGGCTTCCTCTCCTGCTCTGCCTCCTCCAACTGCCTTGCCAGCACAGGCGCATGCAACACCACGGGCACCACGCAGTGCCCATTGGCTTCTTGCGCCGTCTGTGACTCTCCCTCTGGGGCTGATCCCATCTGTGCTGGCGGCACCTGTGCTCCCAACAATGCCGCCCCTCTTGCCTCCTCCACTACCCCCACCGCCTCGTCTCCCATTCTCCCACGCTTCTGCGTGGGTGTGCCTTTGAACCCATCACAAGCCACCATTCTCCTCTCTGTGAAGACGGCTCTCGGGGTCACCTTCACCGAGTGGTCTGCCAGTACCCTTGCAGTATCCCTCAGGGCCAAGTCCCGTGGGAACGGGCTCAAGGCGACGGGACAGCAGCGCTTGGTAGAGAGTGAAGCGGGCAGGGAGAGGGTGCTGCTAGTGGCTCCCCCTTCAGGGCAGGCGCGCCTGTGCACGATTCAAGGCCAGACGCCCATGCCGGGCTCCTGGTCGGGCGTGTTCTGCTCTTCTGCCGGCGTTGTCGTCGCCCTGTGAGTGCTGTGCTGCTGCCCTGTTCTCCTGAATTACCCCGGCTGATGTGCTTCTGCTCCTCTCCTCTCACTACTAAACCCTCCCTGCAAACCCAAGCCCCTAGAATATTATTCTGTGCCAATTCATCTAGCTCTTATATGTGAACCCACTATGCTAGCCAACCCCTGTCCTCATGCCTGACTTGAAACCACCACGCTGTCTTCTCCTTCTGCTCCCTCATCCCTGTGGTGGGCAGGGATCTTCGGAGCTTCCTGGTGCGAGGCACCGTGCACACGGACATCTCCAAGCTCACCACACTCACTATGCTGCAAGGGCTTTGGGAACGATTGTATACTTGACTCCAGCATTCATCTTCTGAGTCGATTGAAATGGTGCCGTGGGCGCAGGCATTTCTAGACCCACCACACGCACTGCACTGTAAGGTCTTAAATTCGAATTGTGAGCTAAAGATGTTAGGGGTTGATGTTTCAAATATGCTCAATGGAGTGTGGCACGGGTGACTGGATAGGGTTTTCTCTGTCTGGGCAGATAACACGATGTTCGCAACCTGGACTGCACTCATCTCACCCATATTCCATATCACAGTATGCATAATCGTTTGAGCATTCAACCAGTATCCCTCCGTCCCACACTCTTCACCTATGCTTCTCGTTCTTGCCATGACTTCCCCTCATGCACAGCAACCTGAATATGTTCCCACCATGAATCCCCCCCGTGTGTTCTCACCCACAGCTACCTGTCATCCAACCTCTTCAACCAGCGCCTTGACTCTTTTGTGACTCCTATCCTGCCCTCGACCTCTCTCAAGGAGTTGTGAGTGCACCTCATGCCCACGGCCTCTTTAGATTAAGCTGCAAGTGCTGCAACTTGCATGCACCCAAGCTGATCGAGCCTATGATTTTCGGTTCAGTACCTTTTCTCTCCGGGGACTAAGGGCTGCTGATGTGAACCAGACTGTCATTTGTAGAATCAAAGATGCAGGGTCGAAGCTTGCTGCACAGCCAGCCCCCACACGTTCTTCCATCGCCCCACCTGTTGAAAGACTTAGAACCTTCTAAAAGACGTTCTGAAATAATTCTCTGCACCATCTCTACTGCTGGTGTGTTGCACAACTTTGCCGTGCTCAGTTACTGACACTGGTCTCTCACCGTCTCATGTCTTGCTCGTTATCTGCCATTGTCCGTCCTATTTACTTATGTTTCCTCAACGCATCTATGCGGTTGTTCTCATGTGCATTTGTATGTGTGTGTGCGTCTGTGCGTGTGTGCATGTGTGCATGCATGCACCACGCATGTGTCTCTGCATGTGTGCATTCCTTCACGTGTCCCACCAGGGCGGTGAGCTTCAACTGGCTCTACGGCTCTGTGCCATCCAAGCTCGTAGCCATGGCCGCCCTCTCCAATCTGTAACCAACCCCTCCTAAACCCTTTGTTGCTTTTCCTCTTTGCAAGAGATGTTTGAAAACCTGAATATTCCGCATGATCACACCGTAACCCTTATCGCATCACCATTCATTTACTTTCCCTAATCCACCATTCATTTCCATCCCCCTTTTTGTTCCCACTCCTTTCTCATCCTCCATTTTCCATTCTCCACCACTCCTCCCGATTTTCCTCCTATTCTCACTGCCATGCCATCCCAATCACCAGTCCCTTCAGCTACAACTATCTGACAGGCTCGCTGCCCAAGCCCGGTGCCACCCTCAAGGTTCTCGACACACAGGCCAACTTCCTCTCGGGCACTTTCCCCACCGCCACACTAGCAGCCTGCAACGCTCGCCTCAACTGCTTCAGCGACGCTTCAGCTTGCCCCAACTTGGACGGAACGGCACAGAGGCCAGCAGCAGGGTGCAACATGTGTGGCTCAATTACCAAGACACAGCCGACGCTCTGTGGAGGAGGTATCTGCTTGCCCATCGTTCCTCCTTCTCTCGCTAAGGTTCCCAACAGTGCTGCTGCTCCCACGCTCCCGATGACGTGTGCTGCCGTGCCCCTTAACGCCACTCTGGTGAGCCCCTTCCCTCCTTCCCTCCTGACATGACAGGCGTGATTTCGTGAAGTGGCCCCAAATCCCTCCCAATTGCCTTCACATGCACTGCCGTATACTTCATTCTGCCTCCCACGAGTCTCCCACCCTTCTGCTAGATCCACTTAACTTTCTTTTCAAATGTCACCATCCGTACTGTACCATCATCATACCACCACCACCATCCTCGCGTGCTGCAAGCCCATCCCATGTGAGCCTACGACACTAGATCTCCCGTCACCACACTGCAGACCTGCATGCACCCACTCAGCATCCTCCCCCCCTCGCCCCTCCACGTGCACTCCCACCGGCAGTGGCGGCACTGTTGAGTTTAGGGGCGGCTCTCGGGGTCAGAGACACGGACTGGCGCAACGGCAGCAAGTGCAACATTGAGGGGCAGAGCGCCAACCCCAAGTCGTGGCCGGGCGTCTGGTGCAACGCCAACGGCACCGTCCTCAACATGTGAGCTCCCTTGCTGCCCTGCTAATCCTCGATGTCACCTCCCCCCTGCCCTCCTGCTGACCTTGCACTCACTAATCCTTTCTTTCTCTCTCTCTCTCTCTCTCTCTCTCTCTCTCTCTCTCTCTCTCTCTCTAATGGTCCTTTTATTGATATAGCAGTCAAGTACAGGCAGGCAAGTTATAGTGGCCTAGATAACAAGCATGCCGGTTGCAAACCTCGCCAATCTACAGCTCTACGAGGGGCTCAATCACTGCAAAGCAGTCCCCTAGATGCAACTCATCCCCAATTCCTCCCACCGGCGGGTTCTCAACCGCCGCCGCCTCCCCAAGCTTTAGCAGGAGGCCTACAGATTGGGCCCTTTGCAGGGCCACAGACCAGCGCTGCCTGAACTGGTGCAGGAACTTTGCAGCATAGAACGATTTAGAGTCGGCGTTGAAGTGTCGCCGAGCTGCAGTGTCCGCTAAGAGCTTCAAAAAGGCTGGGACCTCCGCACACGGGCAGCCATAGGTGTCCACAGCCAGGGGGAGGAAGGTCACCGTCTCTGGTAGGGAGGCATAGTGCTGGATTTTCTTGTCCGCTTGCTCCCGGGCCGCCCAGCCCCTGCCCTTCTGTGCCTCCGGGTCCCTTGTGCTGATGGGGTCGGTGATGGTGACATCACATACATAGACGGCCCCACTGCTTCTGTCCGTCATTGTAAAATCTGCCGTCTGTTCCTCAACGGGGCAGTGCGCTGAGGATTCTCTGTGAACGATGAAACCCGCGTCCTGGGCCATGCTGACACAGGCATCGCGCAGCTCGTTGTGGGTGTTGATGCGATGCCTGCCTGTGCCGCAGCGGAGAAGGTGATTCGGGAGGCGGGGGTCTGTGATCTCCGTGTGGTCCGCACAGTCGCAATTCTTCGGCGTGGAGAAGGGGAGGGCCAGCCGGAAACGTACGGCATTGGAAAAGTGAGTGGGCCCTATCCTCCTGTTGGCCGCAATCGGGATAGCGGTCAGCCAATCCCCAGTCCCGTACCCCGTCATTGAGTACATCCGCTGCGTATGTCCGCATAAGGGGTTCACCGCCATCTCCCTCGTCGCCTGCACCTGCGCCGCATATCTACTCCCATGCACCCTTAGCGCCAATGCGTGCTGGAGCCTCACATCGGTTCGCTCCAGCCGTTCTTTCTCCAGGACTTCTCGCGCATCGTCGGGTAACGCTGCTTCACACTCCGACAGCCACGTGTGAAGGGGTGTGGTGGTGTCAGCAGGCAACTGCATGTGGTCCTGCGCCTGCGCCAGCGCACCCTCAGGAGCGCCGTCTAGTGATGCGATGAAAAGCGCCGCCTGCGTGAAGCTCGCTGCGAACCCGAAAACACCCTCGACCAGCGGGTCAGTAATGCCTATCCCTCCCAAAGACGGCGGCAGGGACGCCTGCGCCCAGACACGTGCTTGCTCGGTACGGCAGGTGGGGACGCGAAGGTGGCATGCTGTGAGTAGGGCCGCTAGCAGGTCTGTCCCCCACTGGCTCCAGGTTTCTCGCGGCAAAAGGGAGAGCGGTGTTGTTCTGGTAAGGTATGCCACACGCCTCGAAATGCAGCGGGTGAGTAATAACGAGGCTACCTGCGGGTCGGCTTTCTCGAGCAGTGGCAGGGGTTTGGCCATCTCCTCCAGCTGACCCGACAGGAACTGTGACGCCCCACTGTCAGGCCCCACAAAGCTTCCGAGCAAGCGAACACCATCCTGGGAGAATGGTACGTCGTGCGGCAGCAAATCCTTTACTGCTGCTTGTGTGCTCCAAGCTGCGCATTTCTGCGCATTATGCCGTAACCCCAGGTGTGCCAGCTGCTCGGTGAAATGGTTGAAGGCTGCTACAGTAGCCGTCGCCTCCCCCAGGAATGTGACGTCGTCGGCGTATGCCAGACACAGCACCTGGGGGTGTGCTGCAGCAGTGTCGCGGAGTGTAGTGTGCATACCTGCCGCAAACAGTAGTGGGCCAAGTGGGTCCCCTTGGCGCACGCCCCGTTCGCTGATCAGTGGGTCCGATCCAAAATTCGCGTCGACGAATAATTTCGACGGGTTACCGTATGTCAGTTTCACCAGCGGCAGTAGTGGCGACAATTCTGGTCCTTGTAACGCTGTCGCGATGGCTTGCCGTGAAATACTGTTGAATGCATTTGAGATGTCGGTTTGCAGCACGAGGCTGTTGGGAAGCTTGTCCAGATACGCCCGTGCCACGTGGATGACTGCCTCGGCTCCTCCAGGCACGGCTACGCCATACTGTAGAGGTAGGAAAAAGGCCCGCGCGGCCTCTCCCATGGCTGCGAGGGCTGCTTTGGCAGTCAGCCGCGTGATGCATTCGCCAATGGCGATTGGTCGAGCCCCCCCACCGGGTTTGGCCAGGGCAATGACCCGTGAAGCTGTCAGAAGGTCCGACACCGGTGCTGGAAGGTTGCCCCCCAAAATGGTGTTAACCAAGGCGTGCAGATGGGTGCTAACTCGTCTATTCGTGATTGCCGCGTCGCGCATGTGTTCGAATGTCGTTCCCGATGGCCCAGCACCGACCCCATTTTCACACCTTCCCAACAGTTTGGCGAAGTCAGCCTGGGTGATGAACAATTTTGACTCGGGCGAGGGTGGCCACGTCGTCTCCCCTGCTTCGGCTGGCGGGTGTTTCTGTCGAAGCTCCTCCAGAATTTCCGGAGTTGGGGTGCAGACCGGCGTTGACTCCAACGCCAGCACAGCGCGTCGTAGGCTACCCCGTTTCGCCAGGCCCTCGGCCCTGCTGATGACCCCGGTTGCGTCGGGCTTGTGACGTGGAGGCGTGGGAGTGTTGACTGCTTCGATCGCATCCTGGTACAGTTGACCCCACTCGCCACGTTGGAAGGCTCGGAGCCGGGCCTTGATCTGGGGCCAGTTTGGTTTCCGTGGCGAGGTCTGGCGAAGCGTCAGACGTGGCAGAAATAGGAGTAGGCGCCAACCTGCCTCTCCTTCCGGGTTTCGTGACAGGTTGAGTAACGGGGTTAGCAGCGCCAGCGAAAACAACTGGCACAAATTGGGCGGTAACCGCCTTGCCAGGGATGGTTGTCGACTATTGCAGAGGGCTGGGATATCCCAGTTCTCGACGCCAGCGAACAGATCTGCTCGCGTCGCCAACTCCTCTGGCGTAAAATAGCGCGGGCGATTGGGATTGTCTCGCACCGATGCCCCTGCCGTCGCGGCCCGATTTCTCCCGGTGCGGCCCGGCCTTGCTTGTGATGGTGCGGTTGGAATTTCGCCCGTACGATTGCCATCGGACGGTCCAGCCGTGGTGGTCGTTCCCTCTCCTCGGGACCGCCTTGTTCTCGCTCCTGTCCTTCTCCCATTCTCCTCTACCCCTTCCTCTGCTTCTGACCCTTCCTCCGTACTGGATGGCGTTGGCTCTTCTCTATAAGAGGGGTCATTTTCTTCTTCGTCATTAAGTAGCCTAGTTAAAGCCCTTCTGGCCTCCCTCTGATAGCCATTTTCTGGCCCACCTCCTCGACCGCTACCTGCTGCCCGCCCATCGCCTCGCGCTTCCTGTCCTCGCGATGGTGATTGCTGGTGTGACTGATTATTCGCCAATGCGCGTTGGCGCCGCGTCGGTTGTACTCGAAAGGCCGTCGTCTGCCTCAGGAGCGAGGACCGAGGCGACGGGTTCCCCGCCACTGTCTGTTCTGCAGCCCGGCCTAGTAGCCGCTGAAAAGACTCCTCCCCTCGTATCCGCACGTCCTCTCGTCGTGAACGGGGTTGAGCCGTCTGCGCCGATGGTTGCTCCTCCCGCTCCGCCTGTCGCCCCCTCTCCGCCTGTTCTCCCTGTTCCTGCCGTGCCGCTGGCGGCATCTGCTCCTGCCGGGGGGGTCGCCGCTCATCCTGTCCCAGGGCCTGGCGTTCCAGCTGCACCTGCCGGTGCTGTCCCCGGCGTGCCGATGCTGGCGTCTGCTTCTTCGTCGCCTGCGGTGTCCGCCACCACTGGCGGCCCGCCCTCGGTGGTTGCTCTTCCGAGCGCGGATCAGTCTCCTCCCGTTCCACCGCCTGCGGCTCCGGTTGTTCCGCCGTCTCGTCCCCCGTCGCCTGACCGCCGCTTGTCCCGGCCCCATTCTCCCGCGCCACCGCAGGAGCGCGAGACGTCTCGGCGCCGGCGGAACTCCTCACGGCGCTACCAGCAGCAGGCCCAGTGGCCAACGCACTCGGGTGGCAGTCGGGGATGGCGGGGCCCCACGGGGCGCGGTGGAGGCGGGTCGTATCGGCTGCCAGTGACGCTGGAGGACCTCCAGCGCGAGGTGTCTCGGGAGGTGTCGCGTGCCGTACGTCAAGGGAGGGCAGCGCCGGGCCAGAGCAATTCGCGGCAGGCTGCTCCGGAGCCCGTTGCTCCTCGTTCGCCTGTGCATCATGTAGCCCCTCCGCCTGCTGTTGCTCCTCTTCCTCATGTCCCTGCCCCGTCCGTTCCTTATTCTTCTGTTGCGACGCCGGCGACTGGCTCCCGCCTTCATCTGCCACCTGTTCCGCCTGTCGCGGGGGTAGAGTTCGTGGCGGCGGGTAGTGGCGCGGATGCGGCTCCGAACGCTGCTGATGCGTCTCTCCGGTTCCTGGCGGCGGCTCTGCTGCCTCCGCAGACGCGCGTTCCTGAGACCACGCTTGGTCAGCTTCACCGTCTCGCGGAGAGCCTGCATGCTTTGCTTCTGATTCAAGTGCTTGCACACTCGTCTCTCCCTGCTGTCCCGCCCGAGTCCTTTCGCAGCCACCTGCGTGACCCGTGCCTCGACGCGGCTGACCAGCTCGCGGAGCTGCTGGCGCCCGTGCTGGCTGCGCCCGCAGAGGGAGGCGCTGCTGCCGCGGGACAGCTTGGTGAGGCTGTCCGGAGCTTGAAGCGGCACTTGCGCGCTGGATCTGGAGCCGCGGCGATCGGCGCAAGCACAATTGTGGTCCGGGAGCTGTGGCGCTCCCTGACGGGCATTCTCCATGCCCTTGGAGCTCACCGCTTGTAGGCGCGGGCTCTTCTTGCGCTGTTGGGGCAGCTTGCACGGCTTGACGCGTACGGGATGTGGCGGCTGCGTGCTCCAGGAGCTCACCGCTGCTAGTTGCGGGCTCCTCTTGCTCCATGTATCTCTTAGGCCTGTTTGGTGTGATGCATGCTTGTATATTTTCCTATACTTGCTTATGTCCCTGCTTTCCTTGCCGCCCCTCACGCGCGGCCGAAGGCCGCGCAATCGAGCGTCGGCCGCCGAAGGCGGCCGGCGCGAGCCGCTCGGTTAGGAGGGCACATGAACTATCAAACGAATAATGAGGCACTAGGAACAGATCCTAGGGCCTTTATACTAGGCTGGAGGGGGGCTGGAGAGGCTAAGGACTAGCTCCTAGGGCCTCTCTCTCTCTCTCTCTCTCTCTCTCTCTCTCTCTCTCTCTCTCTCTCTCTCTCTCTCCCGCTCGGTTAGGAGGGCACATGAACTATGAAACGAATAATGAGGCACTAGGAACAGATCCTAGGGCCTTTATACTAGGCTGGAGGGGGGCTGGAGAGGCTAAGGACTAGCTCCTAGGGCCTCTCTCTCTCTCTCTCTCTCTCTCTCTCTCTCTCTCTCTCTCTCTCTCTCTCTCTCTCTCTCTCTCCCGCTCGGTTAGGAGGGCACATGAACTATGAAACGAATAATGAGGCACTAGGAACAGATCCTAGGGCCTTTATACTAGGCTGGAGGGGGGCTGGAGAGGCTAAGGACTAGCTCCTAGGGCCTCTCTCTCTCTCTCTCTCTCTCTCTCTCTCTCTCTCTCTCTCTCTCTCTCTCTCTCTCTCTCTCAAATAGTCTGTCTATTCAATATACACCTGGGCACGAGCCTTTTCAGAGATGCAACAACATACAAGGTGGGTGTTGAGTGCACGCACTGTGATGTGGGCTGCCTGCCTGCCTGCCTGTGTGCCTGCATGGAGCAATAGCAAGGGAGCACCGTGAAGGGCTCCAACATGCTTAACGCATTCCCAGCTCCCATGGACTCCTCAAGGGCACTTATCGCTGGGCTCTTGGCCTTGAGCATGGTGTTTGCCTTGACGCTCAAGCCCACCTGCTGCTCCTATTGAAGCGCCTCCCAGCACCGCTGGTGGAATTGGCGGAGTAGCTGAGCTGCCTGGTAGGTTGAGGGGTCAGTGTTGAAGACCGCTGCGCAGCCACGACTGCCAGCACCACATTGGCAGCCATAAATGTACACATGGGAACGCCACCTTTGCCAGGAGCTTGAGGAGCACGGGGACTTCAGCGCATGGGCAGCCATAGTCACAGCTATGGGGAGGAAGGGAACGTGCGTATGATCCTTCATTTGAGTATCCGTTTACTCCTACTTACCCCATGCCTCCTGCTACCTGTGCCTCTTGCTTCTGCTATCCCATGGCAGCACGTTGCCCGACAAGGCACTGAGGGGCATCATCCATGCCGACATCTTCAAGCTCACTGCCCTCTCCTACCTGTACGTCTCAACCCTCAACCTCAGCCCCAATCAACCTGGGGCGTTCTCTAAAAGCAAGTTATCACTCTCACTTACATGCTAGGGTCGACTTGAAATTCTCACGGCCTCCTTTCCAACCTCTGCCCCCTCTTCCCATCCACATCTCGCCTCTCCTCTCCTTCCTTCCCGTGCTCACTCGCAGCGATCTGTCGTACAATCTCTTTTTTGGTCAGCTCTCTAAGTTCGTATCCACCGTGTTGTCGCTCGCCAGCTTGGCCACTCTGTGAGTGAAGGGGTACTAGGGAGCACCACCCAGCGCATGTTTGACCCGCCGTTGCTTTTACGCAATTGAGTGGCACATCACCTAGCGTAGATTAACCTGCTGGTAGAGAAGAAGGGGCAAGGGTCACGGATGGACTTGTGCATCATGTGCTGACCCGTCAGTACTTACCACTCTTCACTTTTTGCGCTCTCTTCTCCATGTGCTTCTTGTGTGCTTCTCATTTGCTTGTTTGAGTGTTTCCAGGAATCTCAACTCTAATTACCTCGTTGACAGTATCCCATCGACTCTGGTCAACATGCCTAAACTCACAGAACTGTCAGCTTCTCAATTCCAATCCCCATCCCCCTGCCCACGTCCATTCCCATGCCCACGTCCATTCCCATGCCCATGCCCATGCCTATGTCCATGCCCACGCCCATGCCCATGCTTTGTGCCCATGCCCATACCCATGCCTATGCCCATGCACATACCCATGCCATACCCATGCCCATGCGGCCATGCCCATGCCAATGCCCATGCCCATGCCCACGCTCATACCCGTGCCCACGCCCATACCCATACCCACGCCGATACCTATGACCACGCCCATGCCCATGCCCATGCCCACGCCCATGCCCATTCCTCTCATTGCCTTTAACCCACCTCCCCTCCCTTGCTCACCTCTCCCTCCCTCCACCCCTCCTCACAGCCGGCTGGGAGCGAACCACCTGACACGCACGCTGCCAGCCATGGCCTCGCAGCTGCAGGTGCTGGCCATTGCCAGCAACCTCCTCGCGGGCGCCTTCCCCACGCAGCCCTTCCAGCTGTGCGACATCCGTAGCAACTGCCTCTCCTCGCCGGGCTCCTGCACCAACGATGCCGGTGTGGCTCAGCGCACCTCCGGCAGTGCCTTCTGTGGTTCCGCCACGGGCGCCCCGCCTTTCTGTGCCGGCACCACCTGCACCCCCAATGTCGCTGCTCGCCTTGCTGCCGGCACTGTCAACACCCCTGCTGCCGCCCTCCCAGCAATGTTCTGCTAGGCCGTTCCAGTGGATGACAACTCTGGTGAGTGGAACATCGTGACAGGCCATCTTCTTAGCGCCTCAGAAGTTGAACGATTGAGGCCATTACAGTGGATAGTAACTCCCACTTACACCAAAATCAGTGCTCAACCCACCCAACCCTGTTTTGTCTCCTTCAAGAGCTGGGCTCTACCCACCCACACCCAGTGCCTGCCTCACTTGATCCTCATTCTCTCCCTCGCCTCTGCTGTCGACCCTTCTGCTCCTTCCCATCCTGCCTTCCACCCACCCCGCTGATCCACCCTCTCTTTCACAATGGCATACTCCCACCTTCTCCTCCCTCCTGGTTTTCCCACTTCCCCTCCCACTTTTCTCCTTCCCTTTTCTCTCCCTACCTTGCCCCTCACTCTCTGCCTCCCCCAGCGCTGGCGCTGCTGGCACTGAGGGCGGGGCTGGGCGTGAGTGCTCTCAGCTGGGCAGTGGACTCGCCCTGCACGCTGGCGGGCAACGCCCCCGCGGTGGACAGCTGGACTGGCGTCGTCTGCGACCTCTCGGGCCAAGTCCTTAGCCTGTGCGTGGGGGGGGGGGGGGGGGGGGGGGGGAGGATGTGTGTGTGTGGGTTATGTGTGTTGGCTACCTGCGTTGGCTATGTTCATGGGAAATGGGCCTGGCCTTTATGCAAGTGATATGTGCATGTCACCATCTCACTCTACCTGTCAGCATAAAAAATGCTTTATTCTGTATTCTATGCCCCAAGCTCCAATGCTCAGAAGCCGCTTCACACACTGCTTCCTCTTGATCTTAACACCATGTTATGCACCCTCAACCTTACAGCCTTGCATGCTCCTTGCTCGGATGCTGCCCTGCCTGCTGTGCCGCTGCTCCCCACAATGATTCCTCCTCTTTCCTTTGGCATGGGGTTGCTGACGTCACAACAGGGATCTTTCCAAGATGAAGCTTCGTGGCAGCTTGCATGCCGACATCTCCAAGCTCACTGCACTCACCAGCCTGTGAGTGCTGTTGCTTTAACCAACACATGCGCCGGCATCCATCCATCCTTCACCTTGCTCTACATATCCATTATGCCCGTTCCATTGTGCATTCCACTGCATACCATTCCCTTATAGCACCAGAAGCCCCCATTTCACCACTCCCCAACCCTCGCCCTACGTTCTCCTCCGCTCACCTCTCCGTGCCTCTCCGTGCCTCCTCCACATCCTCATGGCCCCATGTTCCCGTGCCCCTGTGCTCGCAGCAACATGGCATCCAACCTCTTGGATGCGCGCATGAGCGAGTGGGCTCAGTCTCTCACCAGCAAGGCACTCAAGCAACTGTCAATCCTCCTGCCTTAGTCTGCCTCCATCACAGTGCGTGGCAGCGCCCTTGCATTGCATTCTTGCTCCACGTTTTGGGGCTAGAAGCGCTCGTTCCGAGCGTTTTTCTTTCGCCGGATTACGTGGCTGCGCTTGTCTGGGCCTATTGCCAAGCCAGCAAGGGCGTAGGAGTGTTGCGAGCATCATCGGTTATCGGTGCTCATGAATGAAGAGCGCCCGCTGCACTTTCTGCACATGTGCGGATCGTTCCGCGTTTTCGGGCTAGAAGCGCTTGTTCGGAGCATTTTTCTTTTGCTGGGTCACGTGGCTGCGCTTGTCTGGGCCTATTGCCAAGCCAGCAAGGGCGTAGGATTGTTTCTCTGCTGCATGGTCCTGCATTAGAACAGGCCAGGGAAGGCCAGACCAGATAAAGCCCAGCATGACCGAGCAAGGCGTTAAGTCCCTTTGTCGTGTGCCTATACTAAATTGTTCGAATCCTCGTGTGACTTTTAGCTTCTGTCAACTTTCTCTTGTGTGAGTTTTCTCGTGTGTCACCTTTGTGATTTCTTCCCCTCTGCTTCTGCCCTCCAGGACTCTCAACTACTACTGGTTCTTCGGCCCCTGGCCCTCATTCCTCCTCACCATGTCCTCCCTCTTAGCACTGTAAGCACCTCCCTGGAGCAACCCAGTCTTCTTACAATTGCACTCCCCTTCATTGTTCAGCATGTGTCGACATTCATGTTTACCAATCATGGCACCCTGGCCCCACCCTAAGGACGGAGTATCTCGTTACTTGTGCCTCCTCTTACTCTTTCCCCATTCTCTCCCCACTGGCCCGTTCTCCCCTCCTTCCACCTCACCAGCAACGTGTCATTCAACTACCTCGCTGGTCCCATCACCGGCACTCCCTCTGCCTCCCTCAAGTCCCTCAACGTTGCCTCCAACCTCCTCTCAGGAACCTTCCCAGCATCTTCCACCACCGCATGTGATGCATGCAGCAACTGCCTAGCAGACTCCTCCAAGTGCCTTGCCTCTGGCTCCTCCTCCCAGAGGCTCGCCTCTGAATGCTTCCTCTGCGATGCTGGAAGTTCCAGTGCGGTGATATGCAAGGATGTGCGCGCCTGACACCACCGGGCCAGTGGCAGCACTCACACCTAATAGTGCCTCAGATGCTATGCTGCCCATGTAGTGCTTGGGTGCTCGCATGGACGCCACAGCAGGTGCGCCTCCTGCCCACCTTCCAATTTCTACTTGTCAACCCGAATATCTCAACTCTCCAGTATGCTTGCGTCTCCTACTTGTCTTTATCAATCCATCTCATCCATACGCTGTCACTGCTTCCTCCCCTCCATCCCTCAACATCTGCCCTATATCACCTTTACTCCCCTCCCTTTCCCCACCTCCACCCCCCAGTATTGGTGCTTGGCAGTCTTAAGGCGGCGCTGGGAGTGCCTATCCCGGCCTGGGGAGTGAAATCCCTGTGCACAGTGATCCCCGTGGTTTCCGAGGACATGCTCTACGCTCTTTGGCCAGGAGACACGGAAGGCGTGCAGTGCAGCCCGTCCGGTGCTGTGACGGCAATCAACCTCAACACGCGCCAGCTGACTGGGTCCATGCATGCAGATATTTCCAAGCTCACTGCACTCAATATCATGTAAGCCACTGCTTCGTAAGCCCACTGCTTTGTAAGCCACTGCTTTGTAAGCCCGCTGCTTTGTGAGCCCACTGCTTTGTAGCCCACTGCTTTGTAAGCCTACTGTTTTGTAAGCTCACTGCTTTGTAAGCCCACTGCTTTGTAAGCCACTGCTTTGTAAGCCCACTGCTTTGTAAGCCCACTGCTCTGCAATGCCCACCATTTCTTGTACCTCTCCCCCTTCCTGCCTTCCCTTCTTCCTGCCTTCCCTTCTTCCTGCCTTCCCTTCTTCCTGCCTTTCTCCTTCCTGCCTTGCCCCTTCCTGCCTTCCCCCCTTCCTATGTATCCCCATTCCCCTGTGCCTTCCCTCCTACGCCCCTCTCTGCCTTTCCCCCAGGCTCCTCCACTCAAACTTCTTGGCTGGTCGCCTGGATGCCTTCACCGTGCCCTTCACCTCCCTTACCAAGCTGGAGAACCTGTATGCCCATCTCTTAAGCACTCCATTCCTTTCTATTTGTGCTCCTCCCGAATGGACCTTCCTTTGAATTAAGGTGGGGTGGCCCGGTGGGTACAATAGAAATGTGAAGGGGTGTAGCAGAGTCCTACCTACAGAGCACGTAGGGACTAGGAGATTTGTAAATGTCGTTGTTGAGCGAGTGAAATCTTGGTCCTCTTGGCCCCTCTTGCGTTCATATGCCGTGTGTGCCCTCTTTCTCCTTCCGTGCATACCTAAAGCATCTCAGACCTCAGCAGCACTCATATGGGCCCACAAGTGCACTACCTGAGCCGATCATCCTCACCCTTTCACTTGATTCCTTCCCATCCACCTGCATGTCCACACCCCCCATCCTCTTCCCTGCATGCCCTGCAGCCAACTGCACAACAACTACCTCAAGAGCCTCTCCAAGCTGTGAGATGACCAGGTTTACATCCTTTTGTCCAGGCCATGCCAGGCCGTGCCATGCCATGCCAGCCATGCCAGGCCATGCCATGCCATGCCAGCCAATGTTCTTACCCTCTCGTTGGCCATCATGACATGTGTTTACATGCCACTTCAGCTACTTCCACTGCCTCGCACAAAGGAGTATATGCCTCTATGCTTCCTTCGCTGCATTAACTTGAGGACGTGATGCACCTATGTACCCAAAACTTCTTCCTCTGCAAAGTCACTGCTTTATCTATCTATTGGACTCATTCCAAGCCCCCGCTCCCAACCACCCATGCGTCATCCCATAGGAGTCTGGGCTCCAAATACCTCACTGGGAGCGTGCCAGTGCCAGGCACTGCCATGAAGCACCTGGACCTCGAAAACAACTACCTCATGGGAACCTTCCCAACAGGCTCCTGGCAGTCCTGCTCGGCATGCATCAACTGTTTCGCGGATGCGGCTGCTTGCACGGCGGACGGAGGCAACGGGGTTGTCCAGCGAGACACATGCAGTATCTGTGGCAGTGCCGATGGCACGGGGGTGCTGTGTGGCGGCGGTGGTGCGTCCACCTGCCAGCCCACAGCTGCTTCCCTCGCGTCCCTCTCCACGCTCAACAGCCCATCTGCCCCTGCGCTCCCTATGGCGTGCTCCTTGCTCCCGGCTGTACCTGTCAACTCTACTGCCAGTAAGACACCTCATCGCATGGTCACGGGCATGGTCAAAGACGGGCAGAGGCATGGGTACAGGGAGCATGACATGTCCCACACTTTTATTTCTCATTCTGCACACATGCTCCATGTTCACTAGCAACTTACCTCTCCGCCATTCGAAGCTTCCAATTCTATCCCCACTCTATTCATCGTCTCCCCACTTCCCCACTCACAGTGGCCGCGCTGATGAGCATCAAGATAGTCTTGGGAGTGACGTACACAGGGTGGGCGGCAAATGCTGTCTGCACGCTGGCAGGGACAACTGGCACTGTAACGAGTGGGAGCTTGACAGGTGTGGAGTGTGACTCAGCTGGCAACCCCGTCAAGATGTGAGCACTTGATTGTTTGTTGTATTAAAACCTTGTTTTGTGGATAAATAAAGCATGGAGATATTGGCAACAGTGTCATAGGTGCTCTGTGCGAAGAAATTTTCATATTGTTAAAAAACTGGCAATATGATGAACGAAGTGAGGTATATATAGGACCAGTTTTTAAGAAAAACTGCGGTTTAGGGTTCAAACAACGAGGCGCGTGGGTCATGTTTTTAAAACTTGACGAAGTGCAGTGTGCAAGCTTTGAAAAGTAGCGCACCTGCAATTTGGGACTTTCAAGTGCTGACACAACCCCCAGGGCGAAATACATGGGGATGGCTGGGTTTGGCAAAAAAAAAAAACGAAATGCCCGAAATCGGAAGCACTCGCCAAAACCCAAACCAGGAAAAACCCATCGCGTTATCCTTTTAAAACTTGTGCAATTCGGGCTTCCGGTTTAAATTAGTTGTCCTTCCTCCTGCTTTATTTCCTGCTTTTTCTTTTACCATTTTCCTGCTTTCTCTGGAGTGCATTGCATAGGATTGGCATCGTCTCCTCTGAATCCTTTCCAACTCCTCTCACTCCTACTCCCCCTTGATCATTCCTATGTTTTCTGTTTTGTTGTTACTCCCTCTTTGCCAGAGCTCTCAACAACCAGCAGCTGTTCGGAGTGCTCCCTGCTGATGTCACCAAATTCACAGCGCTCACTTACCTGTAAATGCGCATGTGCACACATGCATACATAGAATAGAAAATGCAAAAAAACACAAAAGCTCAGATATATGTAATGCATAGCGTACACACGCTCCACGTAGACAAGCGGAAAACTGCCTACACTAATGCATATAAAGTCCCAAGTTTCTTTCTCGAACTATGCTTTAAGTTGGTCTATCCCTCTATTTACCTTATCCACACCTTCGCTGCTCTTTCACTTTCCCCAACTCTATCTGATCCCCTTCTTGTTTTGTTCCCTTCCCATGCCCCAACCTGTGGCGCTTTTGTGCCCCTCCTGTACCTCCCGTCTGCCTCTTCTGTGTCCCCCTGTGTTCCACCTCGCAGCAACCTGCAGTCCAATCTGTTCAGGGCTCGCCTTGAAGATTTTGCCTTGAGGCTTCATGGACTCACCAGCCTGGCAATGCTATAAGTCCCTCACCAACCTTACAATGTTGCGACTCCCTCTACACCTCGCCTTACCCATTCTGTTGCTGCACAGCAAGGTGCCACTTGCCAATCTTGCAATTCTCATCTGGCCACGTTTCACTTGGTGATTTACTGGCACTGTTGGTCTGGTACTTGGTGTACCAAGCATTCAGCATGGAGCCATTCATTCTGCATTCAGCTTCAAGCCTCAGTGTGCTGCCCTAAAGGTGTGGTCGGCCGTATGGCTCCTATATACTCCCTGCGATCTATTTCGTTGCATCACAGTGCATAACTGCCATCCTCAAAAGCCTCTTCCCACCATGTTTGACCGTCCTGAGCCACGACGGATGAACTGTAAATGTGACCTAACCACGCCCGAAAAAGCGTCCTCCTCTATATTGTCAGTTTCAGGTCCCCATCTTACATGTGTACCCTCTGACCCCTCTGCACCCCTCTGTGCCCCTCATGCCCTCTTCACGTTCCTCTGCATGCATCCACCTCCAGCCTGCTGGACTACAACTGGTTCAAGGGCTCGGTGCCCCCGCCTCTCCTCGCCATGACCAAACTCACCCGCCTGTCAGTGCTCTGCCCCATCCTTCACGCCCCCCACCCTATGCTGCTAAACCATCTCCCACACGTCCCACACATGGGGCCTGCACTATATCTCATTTTTTCTCATTGAGTTCTTGATTGGGTTGATTCATGCGTCTAATTCTCCAATTGACACTGCATGCCAAACCAAATGCCACTACCTTATGACCCTCCCTCATCTCCTCCCACCATATACCAAATGCAGGAGCATAGCCTAAAACTACCTGACATACCACGTGCCACCGGTGTCAGCATCGCTCAAGGCAATCGTCCTCTCCAACAACTTCCTCTCGGGCACCTTCCTTGCCAACTCCGCCACCTCTTGCGTCTCTGCTGCCAACTGATTCACCAGCGCCACCACCTGCAACACTCCTACCGACCAGGGCGATACGGTACAGCGCGCGTCGGGGTGTGATATCTGCGGCAGTGCTAGTGGTCAGGGCATGCTGTGCGGCGGCACAGGGGTGTGCACGCCCAATGCTGTTGCACTGTTCACTGCCAAGACGCCGAATACTGTTGCTGCTGCTGCTCTCCCCATGTCTTGTGTTGGTGAGTGTGCTCATGTGTACAACATACCGTACCTGCTGGCCCAAACTCCCTTCCCATATAACAGCATTCACTGTCTTTTCTTGCCTGAGCGCCCTCCCTTGTCCCCCCCATTTTCATGTATTCTCCTATATTCTCCTTACTTACGTGCTCCTCCACAGACCTTGTGTGCACTACAGCTGCACCCGTTGCTTGCCCCACTGATTGGCGCTGCCAGGGTCTGAAGTGTGCCACGACTGTCGTTTCCAACTGCATTGGCTACCTCTTTACACCTTAGAAATGTGGTAATTATTGGTGGATAGATGCTGAATCTTTCTATTGCCGTGAGCTAGATTAGCCCTAAAGGGAATGTACCCCTTAAGAGTACATGGCTAGCTAGTGTTGGAAACAAGTATTTAATGCTTATGTGTCGTAACATTGAACTGTAAATGAGGCAAGCTATAGCGAAGCAATGGCGAGTCAACTGAGGAGGTTGACAGAAGGTAACAGCTGGAGTTACGCGAAGGTCAAAGGTCAGCGACCTTAGACTCGACAAATATAGCGCGGCACCAAGGACAAACAACTGACTCAATATTTAGCAGTTGCCTGAGTCGTCAGTGTATCGAACCGCAAAAGCAACAGTAAAACAGTTAATTGCATATTGTAATCTTATAAAAGCCTGTATTACTTTTCTATAATTAATCTATCTTGCTCTCACTTACTAGTGCCAGGTGGTTCAACAAGTTCACTTAAGAACGTTTCTGCAAAATGCAACATTCCTACCACAGTCTTAGCCTTGAAAGATCCTAAGGGCCTTTCTCAGCCCAACATGGTATGAGAGCTGACAAGGCAAGATTCAACTTCGTTTGAACTCCTACAACATCAGAAGATAAGGCAACACAGAAGGAGAGAAGCTCCTCTAACGGCTCTCCCGGAACTACTCCTACTTCACCTCCAGCCTCTGGCTCATAGACAGAGGGAGGTACGGCGACAAGACCAACTGCTGAGTCCACAGAGACTCCCGCGAACCAAACGACCGGCTTCGATCCAAACATGATGGAGAAGTTCTTCTCCATCATGTCCTTCTATGAGCAGCACCAGCAAGCAGCACCTGCGCAATATTATAAAGTTTAAACGCATTGATGCTTTTCAAATTTGTGTCTTGTGAAAGCGAAGCTGCCTGTACTGAATATTTGGCAGCGTCGAAGCGCGCTAAACGCCATTCTCAAACTATAAAAACTGTGGGTTGGAGTTCATTCCCTCCACCCACATTTCTCGTTTTCCAATGGCTCAATCAACACTTCCATTCGAGTAGTTCTTTTCCCCGTCCAAGCTGGCTAGAACTCGCACTCTTCCCAAAGGCCAGTCACCCTCAACACTTCTGCAAGACATTTTCAACCACAATCGCTCTACAATGGCATCTACGTCGGCACTTAACCGCGGCAATTCGTCTGCGCCGAGTTCCGACACCGACCGTAACACCCGAGAAATGACGGGCGATCGCCGTAACAAGCGGCAGGCAGAGGAAGGATCGCCCCTCCCCTCTACTACTAACACCACTTGGTCGGCGGCGACGTTCAAGGACGCGCACGTGCGGGCAAAAGCGGAAATTCTGGAGGACATGAGGGCTTACCTGAAACACGCAGAGTACAAGCTGCAGTACGACGACTTGGCGGGCGGACTCGAAATGGTCGTCGCCGCCCTCGACGACATTTCCGCGCGCTTCGACATGTTTCAAGTCGAAGACGCCGCCGATGACCACGTTGCCAAGCGCTACAAAATGTACCTGCAGAAAAGTCTTCTCACCTCGCGGCCGTTCAAGCAAGCCATCGCAGACGTGGCTGCCATGGACCGAGCGGCGGGCGCTCACGCTCGCTCCCACCGTGGTGGAAACCACGGCGCCATGGCGTTCGCCCCAAAACGTGGCCCTCCAACCTCGGGCAACTTCCAAGGCTTTCGTGGTTCATGTTTCCGCTGCGGCCAACTAGGCCACGTCGCCAATGCCTGCCCTTGGAATGGGCATGGGGGCCAAGGACCAGCACCGGTTGTGTAGGGTTTGGGCTACGGTGAAGCGCGCCACTAGGCGCGATGCACGGTGCACTCTTGAGTGCTTAGACCGTAGGCAGCCTAGTAGGGCTTGCGGTGGCCATGGCCAGGCCTAGGATAGGGTGGTAGAATTCGGCCATAGGCCTAGCTTTGGGGAAGAGGAAGAATGCCTCTCGGTCCCCTAGGATAGGGTAATAAAGTATGGCCGTAGGCCAGCTTTGGGGAAGAGGAAGAATGCCTCTCGGTCCCCCGTATGCCTCAATTGATGGGATGAGAAGCATGCTAGTAGGCATGATAATGTAAGACCATGAGAGATAGGGATTTTTTTAAAGGCCCCCTCTGGTTTGTGAAGGATAAAAAAAACAAAAAAAAATGGTGGGGGCGAAACACGAGGAGGAGAAAGGGAGAGGGAGAAAAAGAGAGTACGCACGTTCCTCACTCAAACCGCCACCATGCATGGCAAGGATGGGCAGCTCTGTTTCAACCTTTGGAAAACCAAAAAAGGCGAGAAGGAGCAAGGCATTAAAAAAAAAAAAAAGGGGGGGGGGGGGGGGGGGGAGAGAGAGGGGGGGGGGCCATAGCGAGGTCGCCTAGCCCAAGTGAAGGCACGCGCGGAAAGGCACAAGCCCATGGCAAGCGGAGCATGCAAATGCTCAAACAATAATGAAAACACACACAAAAAGAGAGGGAGAGAGAGAGGGAGAGAGAGAGAGAGAAAGAGAGAGAGAGAGAGAGAGAGAGAGAGAGAGAGAGAGAGAGATCAAGAGGGAAGCATGATCATGGTCCTAAGCATCAATCCTACAGCAAGGTAACAAAAAAAAAAAGAGGGAAGGGAACAGGAGAGAGTATGGGAAAGAGTTTGCAAAGGTGCGATCGGACGTCCTACATGGAATGATGACAAACCGTCCGTATGGTTCTCACTGTTGACGGTTCATCTTTCGCGCATGCATGTATATGTCACACGCATTCACTAATCAAGGCATGTAACTTGATCGGTCCTGTTCATTTCATTGTCGTACATATAGGACCTCTTTGCAAACTCCCTCAACTCTCAGCTGCCACGCTTCTGCACGAAAATTTCTCATCCACAAGCCACCGCAGTAGATGCATTCTTGCTTGCATGTACATTAGAAAATAGCTTTGCTTCCCCCCCGCCCCATTCAGTACCGGCCGTCCTCCATCACGCACAGCGCACCCATGCGTCGCTCACACTGATCATCCCACACTGGCTGGGTGCATACTGGTGGCCACTCCTACAACCTTCCCCACGCAACTGGGCATCGTACATCCACGCGCACATTCCTTTGACACACGGCAGCCAATGTCTAGCAGCTGGAACACATTCCGCTGCTTTTTCATGCACTGGATTACCACACAGCCCAATGATCGCACTTCGGATGGTTTTTGACTAATTGA